CTCAACAGTTTGGAGATACTTTGAATCCTGAGTGATATTTTAAATTTGTTTTGAATGACAGTGCTGTTTTTTTATTAATCTGTACGCATGAATAACACTGATGGACGACAGATATATGGATGACTTCAATCTGTTCAGTGAGTTATGCTAGCGGTATCAAACAATGATGATGCAGTATCAGTAACTGGATGACAAGGTTTCGCACATAAACTATCGCCACTCATAATCATATCAGTTTCAGTCGCACGGTTTCACGATTTGGCTGATAAGTATTTTCACTCTTTCTGTCCATCCATCTTTTGAATTTGAAAATGAATAGGGTGAGTTAGTCATGCTAGACTGCAGAATAAAACGAAAACACGATGGTTAGTTAGATACTAGTATTTTTGGGAAACTCAAACTCTAATGCAAAATACTTAGACTTCAGTTCATCCCATCCAGAATCGGTAGAATAAAGTTTACTAAAATGTCTGCCTAATCGTATCAAGAGCATAACTAGTAAGCGAGATGATCAAAATAATATAGTTCAACAAATAAAGAAAATTTTACTGGTGAATAAGTACCCACCAGAATTTATTCAAAAGCATATTAAGACCCAAGAAAAGCTAACATTAACAACAAAGATGACGAAAGTTACATATAATTCAAAGCCTCTGTAGTATCACCAAACGTTCTATGTGTTCTGATGATGTTCTCGTGACTTTTGATGCCAGATTCACCAAGGATGATGAGATATTACGCAATTAGCACTAAGCCTGATAAATTGGGAAGGTTGGTCATAGAGCTAGCATTCAATAACAATAAACACCATTGTCACCGGAACTTCAAAGCTCTAGCTTGTAGCCCTATGTTCCATTGGGAAAGGTAAAGGAAAAAAAGAGTAGTACTGCAGTATAAAATAAGAACGTCAGAGTCCTTACTTTAAACTTCGAATTAAGCTGTAATTAGGAATGCATTTTAACCGACCAACTCTTTCAGAGATAAACTTTGTTGGCCTAATAACCGAATAAATGCAATTAAAAAAAGTAATATAGCTTACTAAATACCATGTATCAACTGTGAGTAGGGTCAACTACATACGTCATACTAGTAGATCGGGGTCAACTGGATTAATCGAACATACAAATTTAGCTAGACTTACAATGATTCACCCTGCTAAGTTAAACAGCCTAAAAAGAAGCTCAGTCATTGCACTGCATTCACTTGCATGTTATCACCGTATAGAGTGTGTGGGACAGGATGACAGTATCAAAAAGTATTAAAGTTAGATGGAGAGGGAGGTTAATCACTGAAGCTTTGTTTATCGATTCAATACCGCGCACTCGTAGTTGAAATGACACCACTCCTATACCGGAGATGTGGTAAGTGGAAAAGAACAACACAGAGAAGTGGGAGAGAAAAAAGTGAGAAAATATGTGTAAGGGGAATTGTGAATCTGTGTGATTGAAATTGATATGATTATGATGAATAATTTATGCTTGATACTTCATCCAGCTGTGAATACTGAATCAACGTGTGATATTTAATATAAACTGATGTAATATGGAGTTACATTCTAACACATTGCCTAAGTTCTACACTTACACTGTGTTGGAACTTCACACTGAGCTAAGATAATTCCGCACTCATGAATTAATTTACCAACTGTAAAATTCGATCAAATGTATTGATAGTTCGCTCAGATAGCTAGCCTGAATTTGAGCGATTCAGAATGACTTCTCTAACATTTGAGTTAAACTGGGGTAGCTGTTGGTTAGTTCAGCTTTGGCTGCACGAACAGATATCAATCGATTTCTAAAAACTCCTTCGTTTAACTTATTAATTAAAGATGTTGAAACCTCCTTCCAACATCTCAACATCCTACTATGCACTATTCTGCATATTACATCGTTTGTTTTGGGCATTTGATTTTTAATTATGATTATAATCATAAACATTTCAATTGTAACTCATACTACTGTAATTTTTTGTATTCAAACCGATTAAATTTCCTCACGAGATATAATTTCTTAAAAGCCGTATATAAATATATACTTTTGTACAGCTTACTGGAAAAACTTCTTCTTCACTTCTCTTATAACCCACTGATTCATGTGTTCTTCCTATTATTGTTTATTCTTTGCCCGTATTCTTCCCTGCGCTGCTCGGAAAAGACTGTATCATATAAAGTAGAATACTGAAGGGTGTAACTGGGGTGAGTGATGTGCCTTCGACTCACCTAACTGACATTGTTGTTGTTCACTGGCTCTTCAGTTCTCGCAAGCACTTGGCTAAAGTGTCATCTTGCCTCACACTGGAAATCCTTTCCCTCTATTCACCACTCTTCCTCTGTATATGTTCGAGCAGAACCAGAAAAAAACTTCATCAGAATTTGCGTTCATACAACCGAACATAGAAGTTCTGCCAGACCATATTTAACAGCGATTTTGTGTGAAGTGTCAGATGTCAGGAAGGAACTACTAGACATTTTAAATGAGTAACTGAACTGCAAGTTATGAGGGGAACTATGAATACATGCATTATTTATTTATAATTGATTATGTTTCCGCCATCCATCAGTTATTGTTGATTCTGTTGTTACTATTTTTCAATCTAACGTATGTTCATATTTATAAAAAAGAGGTGAATTGCTGCAGTATGTATTAAAAGCACTGAAAAATCCATTCTGTATAATTACTAATGTTTGAAATAGAGTGATTATTATTATTCAGTGTGGTTAGTAAATCGAAGGGATAGCTCTTGTAGTAATGTGCATTCTTTATCCTTCTAAAGATTGACTTCAGAACATTAAAATCAGTAGTGCCACACGTCTGCTAGTCAGCTAGTATGGTAGACACATTGGAAAAGTGACTGAAGAGAATACCTCTGCACCAAAAAGAGGACTTGACACATTACACTAGTTGCTAACTATTGTCCAGTCAGAGTATCCAGTACAGTCCTGTAGATGCTCGATTGTCAGATTAAACAGCTCAGTGTTAATATCTCTCACTATTGGATTGGATGATGCAGGTTCAGGCCTAAGACAGGACATAACCCGTTTCAAGGTTAAAGATATACCTTATCGGCGAGTGCAAAAAAGCATGAAACCTAGGTCTGAGGCTTCCTGTAGATCACCTCCAAACATCTACTACTCAGCTACTGAGTTCTTATCCTTTTCTGGTGAATTCTCGACTTTCTTAATACTTGGTACCATGTAAGAGTGTTTTAAACATTGTCGGATAGTAGATTAAAGGGTACTGGCACTCAAATCAGAAGTTATTATGCATACCACAAGTTGTAAGAATTTAAAAACAGTATGTAATATCGTTTCCGATGGTCTCTGGTTTATGCTGGTTTGTGTTGAAAGCCATCCTTTCTAGCAGATTTATGATTATTCCCCAACCTACTAAAATGCTGCATAGAAATTTCTAGGACATAAACATGCGAAAGAACCATAGTTTTAAATTCAAGGAGTATTTCTGTTTCAAAAATCAGGGTCATAACATCCTATTAGAACTTCACTCAAGTTCACCTTGTCATCAATCAGTAGTGAGCATTAGATTGGTTTTCAGGTGTTAGTTTTCAAGAAAATCGTTACCTTCAGGGACCGCCAAGTTAGGTTTAAAGAAACGTAAGAACGCTATGCATGGTGAATTGTCAGTACTCGAGTACTCTCTGGTTTTCAATGGTTTTCGTATTCATGGTGATTCGCAGTGAAACTTGAAATTACTTTTAGTGATGACAAATGTGACAGAAACGGAATTCATGAGTAACTATTACTTCAAAGGAAGGGAAGTTATATTTAAAATCCCTACAGTCTCATTAAGGGTTTTTATGAAGCCCAGTCATTGGAGAGTTACCGGTGTTATGTTGTTGTTTCTTGGTCTTCTTGATGAGTGACTTCTTTCAGACGAGATCGGAATACAGCTACAAAGCTAGGGGCTCACTGGCAATTTGCATTTCTTAAAGTGAAGCTACACGCTTGAAAGCACCTGGAGGGAGACCCTGAATTAGGATATCGTGACTATTTTGACTCGATCAAGAAGTTTATCTACAATGGCAAAGGAATACATGAACCCTTTTGTACAAATTCAAAGCGTGTGTGGTTGGCACAGTGGTGGAGTGCTTTCCGGCCAAGCAATTTGTCCGGGCTTCGATTACCGGCCGACACACTACTTTACCTCACTAAGCCAGTAATAAGTCTGGTAGAGAGGGAAGGTTGGGTATGGGGCTAGCAACCCCGTCCTGTAAAAATAATCACCACTGCTACAAAAATTTCAAACTTGTATCTTGAAGCCCTACATTCCACTGGGAACGTGAAGGAATCATAAAAATTCAAAACGTGGACTACAACAGGGAATTTTCTATCTTGATAGCCACATCTCAAAGTGACTGGTATCATTCACTTAGCACCAACGCTAAGGAATAAACAGATGACGTTGCTAACTTTCCAGTGCCCAATCAGTGTATCTCTCATAGCTCTACTGAAGGAAAACCATGAGTCCTCCCTGAGGTTCGAACCCGTCGTCGTTCAGTACCATAGTCAAAAAAATTACAACCGACGACTCGTATCGGTGAAGTAATCATTGTCAAGTGGAGACGGATTGGACACTCGCTGAGGAGGCCGTTGAGTGACATCGCGCGTCAAGCCCTCGAGTGGAACCCGAAAGGGAAGCGGCGAGTGGGACGTCCAAGGGTGACATGGAGGAGATCGTGTGAGGAGGAGATGAAACAGTATGGAATAACATGGACGCAAGTGAAAAGTACAGCACAAGACAGAAGCAAGTGGAGACGTGCAGTTGAAGCCCTATATTCCACTAGGAACCCAAGGGAACAATAATAATAATAATCATTGTCAATTATCTACTTCACAGTCTCTGTGATGACTGAATTTTATCAGTCAAGCTAGGTGAGTGGCCACAGTTGGTGCACTCTGGAGTGATTTTGTTATTTTTTATTTGTGTCAATATACTAATTACTTTGAATCGAAATTTAAAATATCATTAATTTCTTTTGTACAGCACTCACTGTCACTGGTCCAAAAGTAGCATACTATGGCAGACCATTGGAGCTGAAATGCTATGCAAAATTCCCTACATCATTTCAAATATCTGACTACGAAATAATACTCGAATGGTATCACAAAGGAATTCGAAGGAAATCAGATCCATATAATTCTGGAAGTCTATACATAGAACAAAGATGGCTTAATTCAAATACCCTAGAAAGTCGATTGTATATAAAACAAGCTAGAGAAACAGACACAGGTCAATGGATTTGTTTAGAACGTTACAAGTCTGCTGAAAAGACAAGACTTGATTTGTCTAAATATATGCATCTGGCACCAGAACATAAGAATCTCCATACCAGAGATCAATCGAGTAATGGTCATCCTTCCAAGTCTCTAATTTCAAACGATCTTCGTCTACCTCCTGTGTCATCTATTATACCAACATCGAAAGTTACTTATGGCAGAATTGAAGTGGAAATACTGGGTGAGTTCTGCTGTTTTTAAGGGTTGTAGTGAAAAAGTTAGATAAACACCTGTTTACACCTTTGGTTTTTCAAAAGCAAGCTTTATCTGCGGAAATACTGAAAAACCGACTGTCCCTTGCACTTAAGAAAACCTTCTCAGCAGATGAACGACGAGTAACCAATGGTTCAGGTGAAAGTGAAGGATAAGCTACCACTGTTAGCCTCATCAACGTGTATCTACCAATTATTCAGCTCGTGTGGAGCCAGGTATCTCGGCCATACCAAGCGTTCGCTTTCCAAACGTATCACCGAACACTCACCAGCATGGTTTTTTAAAAGAGAAAACCGATGCTCTCGCAGCTCTATCTTCGAACATCTGATAGATTCCGGACATCAAGCTACACCCCAAACAAACTTTAAATTCGTCAAGAGAATACGAATCAGTCTTCTTAAAAGTGTACGAATCAGACCTTTTCAAACTACAGTAGTAATGGCAATTCACTTGCTTAGTCTTGAACTCTGCATATAGAAGAAGTTCGTTCAATCACTACACTTAACCCTGATTTCACTCAAACAAAGATGCAGGCGTAAAACAACACATTATTATCGGCAGCTCAATATAACACAACAACAGGCTGAAGCATTCAAAAAATAGGAATCATACAAAATCGAAGACACATAGTAATGATGATGTCAAAATAAGATATGCAAATATTAGAACGATGATATCAAGCGAAGCAGAAACGGATAGTAATTACAAGTATAGCAACTAGGCATAGATTTTTGGAAGAAGCGGTCTGGAGACATGCTGATGAGAGCATGGAATGGCTTCAGGTGGTAGCACTTGGAGTAGAATCTGAGTGGGAAATAACGAATGGAGTTTCTGAGGGTGACACGAAGGAGGTCGTGCTATGAGGAGATCAGACATTATGGGCAACCGTGGCCCAGCTAAAGAAGATTGCAGAAAATAGAACAAAGTGGAAATGTGCTGTTAAAGCGTATGTTCGACTCGGAACAATAACAATAATAATAATGGATCTCTCGAATGTTCAGATTAATGGTTATGCCTCAACATCGAGATTACTAAATAAAAATGCAATAAAGAAATTGACTGAACAAGAAGGTTTTTCATAATTTTTATTTCATTTGTTGTTTGAAGAAAATGGTAGAGAGTGGTCTTCACTGATAACAATTTTAAACCCCATTCAATAGCTTTCTAACTTAATGCTGTAAATATTATTTTCATTCCCCTGTTGTTCGTTTTGTTTGTAGATATGTCAAAAGCTTCAATTCATTTGAAGGCAACTAAATCAGATAATACTCGGCATGTATACAGCTATATTCATCCAAATTCTAAATTGCTACGAACAAAATCAACCAATTCCGCCTATAATCTTAAATCAAACTGTGATTCTTTCATAAAGATGTACTTGTCTACAATAGTTATACTGTGTTTTTCTATGACAAAGTTATTAACAGATGTAATTATGTAATTAAGATATTTACCTTTATAACTTGCATATAATGATGTAATCACTATTTTGTAATTAGAAATTCACATAAAATTGAAATGTGGCCTGTTTTGTTAAAGACGGAAACTGTTGCTTATGTATATAAGACTAAAGCAGAATATGACAAGTAACAATGACAGTGTTACTCGTATTTCACATTATGAATTAGAGAAAGACAAAACACAACAGTGAGTGTGGAACAAGACACTACCATTGATCAGTACCATTTCGTTGGCATATTGTCATCTATGATTAAGTTGGTGTATAAAGAAGTTTTAAATCATTTCCAAAAATGACATCATCCCAGTTGAAAATAGATTACAGAATCAGCACATACCGTTCAGAAATTCCACTAACAGAACTTTTACGCAGAAGATTTAAATAGTTGCAGGATTTCATTATGAGCTAACATCACTTAGAGAACCATTATAAAGTCGTGGAGTACTGGGCAGCCAGCTGTTTAGTCCCAGGCTGAGACTCTTCGCAGTATGCACCCACAGGGATTCATATCCAGGACCTTCGGGACATAAGGTGAGCTTGCTCGTAGACCAATAAGCCATTGGGACCCGATCCAATGGCCAGCCCATGAAATCCAAATTATACTAATTCATGATATGGCGCGACCATAAGCGGATATCATCCGCTGTGAGTATTTTTCCTCACACCCAAACTAAGATGAAACAGCTATCAAGTCCTCCCTTGTTTTCCAGTAGTCCTCTAACCAACGTCAATTCATGATGAAATCCTGAAACCAGTCAAATGCCTGCAAGCCAACACTTGAAATAATAATTTGCTTTGATTTGAAAAGTAATATTCAAGTTGTTGTATCGTCATTAGAAAATAACACTTATTGATAGACGAAACATCAGAATATCTATCAGGAATAAGTTAGTCCACTTGTAGTTAGTGGAATAATCCTTTCGTCTGGGTGTTTCTTATTTACAGATCTTAGTTTTCAAGTAAACTACGAATGATTATTATTAGATGATTGTAGCCTTGAAGTTAGGTTTCATTCTTCATGGAACTCACAGTCGGCAAGGCGTGTCTGGAATCTTGTAGAAACACATATCCATTCTGAGGCCAGAACCTGACTGACTCAGTGAAGCAGTCAGAAGCGTTATCACTGAGCTATTTAGGCTCGCAACTGATCCTCTGTAAACCTGATGGGACTTCGTGAGCAATCTTAGTGGGCAGCTCATTCCTATACGAGGTCAACTGAGAGCCTAAACAGCTTAGTGATAACATAAGAAAGTGCTTCATTGGGTGACTCAGGTTCTAACCTCAGAACGGACATGATTTTCTTCTTGATTTCAGGCATGTCTTACTAAATAACAGCCAGAATATGACTCGTAAAAGAAGGAAGATTGGGTAAGTGGCGTCATAAACAACACTGCTACAGAAAATTCAAAGCTGTAGCTTTTACCCCTATGTTCCCCTGAGAACATAAGGGAATACACAAATACTACACATGATTTGTTCCTAACTCTTTCGCTTGTACATCCCCGAGTACTTGGCACATCTGAGGTTGTTTCCAATTAATTATCATCAATGTAGTATCGGAATTAATGGATGACTGTATAAACTACCATTATTTCCACATCTATCTTTATTCTGAACAAGAATAACTGAACGGAGCAGCTGCTTTTATTAATTTTTGATTCAGCCTCTACAACTATATGTCCATTAATTTTAACAATGGGATAGTCATCAAAATTGAATTAGAATTATGTTAGAAAGTGTATGCCGTGGTTAAAGTACAAGACCAGGTAGTAATAATAATATTCCATGAATATGGATTTTAAAGGTGACACTTTGTATTTAACAGTTTTGTGGAGAGCTTCAATTTCGATATTTTCATTTCTGTCCTTCATCATAACAGCACCAGCGCTAACTGTCAAAATTAAAGACATCTAACGCACAAAACACAATAATGAAACTGGCAGACAGTTAATAATGAAATGAATTCAAAATAGTAGCAGTAGTTCCGTAATAAAATGTTTCACAAGCGAGCGGTAGGTTTTATTTTGATTGACGTCTGGAGTACTTCTAACCCTCACCTAGTTAATTCCGGAAAAAACTGAAGACTGAGCTAGTGGTAAGTAATTGCATTCTGTAATAAACAAACACCACCACCTGATTTGCGCCACTTGCAATACAAGCAATGAAAAGAAATAATTCATTGAAATGATTTGATTGAAATTAACCAGTCAACAAGACTATTGAAATGACGCTTTCTTGTCAAAAGATGTTTTGTTTAAACTACTTTTCAAAACGCTGTCATTTTCACTATACATATCATTTTTTTCTGTTAGCAGTATTCTGTGCTTCTACGGCTTGATTGACATGTGGAATGAATAATTTATCCTTAGCACTGCGTTTGTGAGGAAAAACAGTATTTGAGAAGGAAATGGAACAGGTGTATCTGAGAAGTTTTAGAAAGACTACAAATCAACCCCTTGTAATCTACCAATCATGCACGATAACAGCTTGAACTCTTTGGGATGACGAAGAATTGACAGCAATATTTTACACAGTGAACATATATATACATATACTTTACCATCTATATACTTGCATATGAAACTGACAGTCTCCCTAGGTTGTATAAAATGGTGAAAAATGCATTCTCTTGTTAGTAACGGTCGTGTCTTGCACGCAGTCGATGAATTGGAAAGTATCACGAAGCGAATACATGCATAAATATGTCTTTACAGTTTCCAGAATATCAGCCAACCATTTAGCAGTGGAATGATATGGACAACCTGGCGTCACAAATAATTAATGCAGTGGAACACGAACTTTGTTTACCTTCGGTAAAGCATGATGTCTTGGTATTGTTGAACCTGTTGGTTGGATGTAATCATAGGTATCGTCGTTAATTAGCTGAATGGTTTTTATTCTCTTCAAGATGTCCGTAGGTTGTTTCTCTATCAGTTGAATTTCTTTTCTTCCCTGGAAGGTTGACAAAACGTCTTCTTAAAGTATATTCCTTGTGTTTTAGTTCCAAAAAACAACATCAACACCCTCTCTCTTTCAATTGTCTCAATTCCTCTTGGTACCACTTTGTTAGATGATTGCAGACTTTTGTTCTTGTATTAACGAATATTAACCCCTATGATTATGACAACTCATCACTTTTGTTGCAATCCTCTATCACGGAAAAAATGTGTATAAATGCGATTGTTAAGTCAAAGAAAATCAACCCACCGGAAGCATTTAGGCAATCATTGCAAAACTTTATTTTATAAACGACTGTTTCGTTCATCCATGACTGCACCAGAGTTCTTCAGTTTATGGAGCAAACACTCTATCGTTCCTACTACATTCGAAGTTTCATCAGGGATTGTTACCGGTCAGAGATCCGTTGAAAGCCAGGGTGTGATGAAAAACGTTTTCGCCCTAGTTCGACACTCATCATCAGCGTACATCCACTGAGTTTCAAACCCAGGACCTTCTGGTTATATGGTAAGCTCATAAACCATTTAGGCACTAGGATCCGATTCAATAGTCTTTGAATACATTCCACACATCATGAGTAGGCATAAAAGGAAACTCAAAATATCTGGATGGTTCACAGAAGCAAACTAAATATTTTTTCCAAAAATTATGCTAATAAGCTCTTTTCATCAAACAGGTATTTTGTGAGACTAGTGTAATATAATATGAATCACCTGAGAGGAAATTCCAACTTTAGATATTTCCTATCACGAGGAAACATGAAATCTGATCACTTGAAGAGTAAAACATGGAGTTTCACTTTGTAGTTCACTGGGGAGTAATTTACATATACACGTGCAGGTAGGGCTTGTAAAAAAATAGGACATAACAGTAACGTAAAAAGTAACGTAAAAGATCGAGTGGAAGACCGAACGGTAACAACAAACTTTAAAATGAATTTGAATGAAATTCAGCCAAATGAAAAGAGGAAATTCTTTCCTGCAAGCATATTTTTATATCGTTTCCGCATACAAAATAATTGTCAACGTTGAGCCCATCTAAGCTTTTGTATTGAAGAAAGGAGTAAGACAAAGCCATCGGATTTCACCAATGATAGTCCTATCTGTTGTGGAACTGGTCACGTGATGGACCATGTTAGTTACTTGAACTGACATAATAACTCGAGAGAATTTGAAACACACTCAAAAAGCCTACCATATACGAGATAAAATCAACAAGTTGGCAGAAAAAGCTGTGAAGACACGATTTCAGGTGGCCGAGGCGAAGTCACCTAACTGAATACAAATACAAATTGTTTTTAACAGGGGAGAAATGTTGACTGCGCTGTTTCATTCACTTATCTGACTAGGCAGAGTTGATTCAATTACAAACAGAATGAATAGGTCAGTCAACGCTGGTGGGTTTTCATTCCTCTTAGATTATGTAGACTGAACTACAGGATTCGATGCAAGGGCCAGTAATCAACATTTTTCAAAACTGATATTAGGTCATTCCATCTGAGTGGTTCAGAAATTCAATGCGTTTCGAAAACCATTTGCAATATACACTGTAGGCTTTCGTCATCATATACCTTCCCTAGCTTGACATTAAATATCAAGTGACTTTCTAAAAAACAGAAAATTTTAATATACACAAATGGCTGTTAGATATGTCAATGCCTTCTAAGTAGAATTCAAAATCATTTAATTCGATATTAGTTTGTATAGAACACCCACACTTTCAAACCGATATTTGGATTTCCCATCATCCTACCCGATGTCATTAAAAATAAGATTGGTGAAGTGTTTAACTAATAGAGCACAAAAACTAAGTTGTAACAAGGAAAAGCGATGACAAGAAGTGAGGCATATAAGAGAAGCTTTGAAAGTATGTAGGAAAATGTAAAAATAAATTAAATTATAATGATAGTGATTGTGATAATAATGATAATAAAATTAATGACGACATGCATGTCAAACATGCACAGGATAATGAGAACAACAACAATGGGGAATATAAATCATCAGTAGTGCTTGCATACAAAGAAGAAACAAAGGAAATCTCACGCAGAATTATTAACAAGGCAGGAATAATAGTGGCTGTCTTTCAAACCCACAAACTCAATAAGAAATTAGTTTTTTTCAGTTAAAGGATCCTGTGGAGCCTCTTAAACGAAACGATTTAGTTTATCTAATGCCCAGCAACGTTTTTCAGGTCATTTTCATAGGTCAAAGTAGTAAAACAGGACCAGTTAGTCAGACTAGCCAAGCATAAAAACTTAGCAGCAAAATCTAGATTAGTTGACCCTATACTGAGATAAGAAATCTGGGGAACAGTTCACCTTTAGCACTAAATGCAATCACTCACAAGCATACAATAGGATGTGATAAGATGACAGTTTTAAAATCGAATGTAGCAGTAAGGTGGAGGTAGAGACTGATAACGGAAGCTTTTTTTATAGAATCAACAGCAAACACGTGTAATTGGGAATGATTCAACATCTGTCTCAGATATCTGGAAAATTTTAATACCCCAACGACGACAAATAGGAGACGACAAATAAAACTATAAAACTCAAGTTTCAAATTCGTGTAATGCTAATTGATATGATTATGAACAAGAATAAATTGTGTTTGAAACTTTCTCATCCAGCAAATAATAC